TTGACATTTGTATGCTGTTTATAATGAATGCCACTATAGCCTAATTTGTGTTCTATTTTATAGTTTAATATATAATTTTATAACTACTTATTTTTCATTCTTGTTCTGTTCTGAATACCGTTAAATTTAAAATATTTGTTGTAGAGTGAGGGGAACTAAATAGGCTGTTTATATTTACCAGTATTTTAATATACATATAAATTACATATATTAATGTAGCCTAATTGTTTGCAATTAGGCCTACAAGGTTAACAGGTGTTTTTGGAGTAAGATCAATTTCTCTTTCACGAGATTACTTCCTCTTTTTGGCCGGGTTTCATTTCTCCGTGTTGTAAACTCTAGGGGCTAGGCTTCTAAACCAGGGTGTTTAGGGGCGTGATATTCAAATGACGATTGTTTTCTGCCGCCACATTGATCAACATACGATCATTCGTACGATGAGATTGGCGGCATACGAATGTTTCATGAATCACACGTGAACTCTGTCGTAAGTTGATTTGTGCACACGGATCTGCGCTCGTTTCTACGTTAGATTGATAAATGAGGCCCACTGAAACTAGAATTTCTTCATTTATTAGCTCAAATATTAATCACTTGTGTGCTGGAGTGTTTTGTGTTATTTGTCTTGCATAAATATGCAGTTGTTTCAAAGTGTATCGTTGCATCGTTGTCAATGTTATTAAAATTATTTTTGTTCATAGAAATGAAGCTGAAATAAAATATAAAATTAGATGGAAAATATAGAATTAGGAATGCCGCTTTGGCAAATAACGGAAATAAATAAAACTACTAAAAACTGAAATAAAAAAAATAAATCTGAAATATAAGTAAATTAATGCTAAATAGAAATTAAATAAATAAAATAAAAAAAGACAATCACATAATATAATTTTTACAACTTAATAATAAAATAGGCAACTAACTAAAAAAAGTTTGTTGAAGTACTAACATTATTAAAACTTCTAAAAACTAAAATAAAAATAAATTAAAGTTAAATATAAATATTAAAAAAAATATATAAAAATGGCAAAAGTTCATAATAGAATTACTACGAATTAAATTAATATTAAAATTGGCAACTAACTGAAATACGTTTAAGATCAAGTGCTAAAATGATTAAAACTACTAAAAACTGGAATGAAAATCAATTTAAACAGAAATATAAAAAAAAAAATAATAAAATGACAAAAACGTAATAAAACTAATACAAATTAAAATAAATGAAAGCTAGATGTAAATATTAAAAGAAATTAAAATGCTGTGTTGGCAACTAGCTAAAATAAACTAAAATGAAAATACTATAAACTAAAATAAAAATAAATTAAAGCTAAACAGAAATATTAAAAAAATAAAATTACTACTTCAAGTGAGAAAATTATTAGAATGAAAATATAAAAATAAAGCTAATTCAAATGATTAATGAATACTATAATAATATATCAATAAAATTAAAATATCGCTGCCCCAGATGCTGTTTAAACATTTCATCATATCACATTGTCTTTAGAAAAACTCAGATCCATACCTTCATTTCATAAATATTTGCCATACCAATTTCTGTACCAGTCAAAAAGAGCATAAAATAAATCAATGTCATTACAATCAATTAAAAATGCTTTATAGGTTTCTGACACTTAATTGCACTTGTGACGTAAGCAAATTATTCTAATAGTTTGATTATATTTGATAAGATATTTCCTCATTTCACTTCTTGTCAGGTTTTTGATGCCACAAACACAACCAGAGAGAGAAGGAGCCTCATCCTGAGTTTTGTGAAGGAAAGTGCATATAAGGTCAGAGGATGTGTGAATATCATTGTCTTACTGAAATATTAGCAGTTGTATCTGTATCTGTATATGTATATGTCTCAGTCGTCAGGGAGTGTTCAGAGCATCCAGAGATCAATAAAGCTCCTCCGCAGCCTAGTTTGCCCTTCATAAACCTGAATAGAAACGGTCTTGCAGTCTTTGATGGGATTATTTTTGCTTTTGTTTCCAGGTGTTTTTTGTCGAGTCGCTGTGTGACGACCCAGAAGTCATTGCTGCCAGCATACTGGTGAGTGTCCCCGTTAATATTTATCACTGCTGTCATATCAGAAAAAGTTTTCGAGGTTATATAACATAAGATGTTTTTATGTTAAAAGTTGAGTTGTTGTCCTCATTTGTAAGTCGCTTTGGATAAAGGGTCTCCTAAATGACTAAATGTAACTTTTTTTTTTCCTTCTTCATTTTATTATAATTATGCAGCTTTTAGGAGCTCACATGTATTGAGAGACTGCAGGAAATATTTGAGCTTTAAAAAATCTAAAAAAAAGCCATTTAAAATGATTAAATTCTAAAAAAAAAAGAAAAGAAAAGAAATATACACATTGCACACCTAAAGTCTACACATTTTCCCTTGATTATTTATAAAAGTAAAGTTATAGGTAAACTTATATATCTTGATGATGAGTAAAATGAAGTTAATATCGTTGGACAGCAGTGAGCTCGTGTTCATTTCATAACGCATCATTAATTTGATGGCAGGATGTGAAGGTTTCCAGCCCTGATTATCCTGAGAGAGACCGAGAGAGCGTGATGGAGGATTTCCTGAAGAGAATCGAGTGCTATAAAGTCACATATCAGCCGTTAGACCCAGATGACCATGACAAGTAAGACTTTATTATATAGGCTATCTTTCCATTTATTATTTTTCCAACACATCCAGTAGCTGATTGATCTCGGAGGAGACATTTGGCAAGACTTGTCCTTTGGGCAAAGATGTTTTTAATTATTATTATTACTTTTTTTATTATTACTTATTTTTATATTTGATCATTTTTGGGAAACTATATGATAATATTTAATTTCAGCTGTTGATCCGTGACCTAAACACCAGCTTTGGCTTTTCTGTTGTCATGTCACTCAGTCTCCAGCAGAGAGCAGTACAGTACTGAATTTATTTTGTTAATATTCTGGCACGTTGGTTTTGTTTGGTGATGATAATACTATATCATAAATGCCTCTAAATACTTTCTAATTGATTAAGTTTGTGTTCAAATAATGTGGATATTCAAATATTAACCTAGAATCTCTGAAAAATCTGTATGGATGTTTTGGACAGTCCAAGGCATTCGTGAGATTCCTCAGGAGTAGCTTTTGGCTTTAATCGGAGAATAATCTGCCAATGCTTGGGAAATTGTAACCCATTGTAGTGGTTACAGACACAGCTGCCTTCAGACTTCTTCCACTAGCTTTTATTCTCTGCTGTGAAACTGCTCATACAACATCCAGAAAACTGTTCAATTCAATTTGCAACCTACAGTATTCTTTGTTTGTACACTTTATTATATGCTTCACTAATGTGAGGCCCAAATAGGGAAACAAAATTATGGTACAGTATATTTAATTATACAGAAATAAGTGGAAAACCCACATTCATGTGCCTGGAATTTATTTGTAGATTTAAAGGCACAATATGTAATTTTCGCCGCTAGAGGGCGTGTATTCAAAATAAACAAAGAGACAAAGGAGTTTCTAGTGGTTTTTGGATATTTTAATAAAACAATCTTACATATTATGCCTTTAACTCTTGTTTTAATCAACAGTGTTAGTTTATTATTTACTTCTGTATTATTCTAGTATTTATTAATATTTTGAAAAAATGGAAATCTAAAATAATAAAAAAAATTTAAATTTACTTTTAGTAATTTTGTTCTGTTTTATAATTTTTCTTAGTTTTTAAATATTTATATTTTAGTTATAGTTCTCATTTAATTCTGTTTTAGTACTTCAACTTAAATGTATATATTTCAATTAGCTGCTAAAGCAGCACTTCTAATTTTTATTTAATGATTTTGTCATTTTTTTTGTTTTTTTTTACTATTTAGTTTTCGTTTATTTATTGTAGTACTTCAGCTTAAACTTATTTTATTTTAGTTGTATGCCAAGGCATAATTTCTGTTACTTTTTTCCATCCAATATTTGTATTTTAGTTTAGTTTTAATTAACATTTTTAATAGTTCTAGTTAATAACACTGTTAATCAAGATAATAATTTTGCCACCAAGTTTACAGATACAAATTCTAAAACATATACTGTAATCCTAGCATTATTCTACTTACTATTGTCACGTTGCACACACACGAGGAACGAGGAGACGCTGGAGAATACGTTTAACAGGACTTTATTACCACCAAGGAACCAAGGGAGACGAACTCAGGAAGACGTACAACAGCGGACAGAGAACTTGGGACTGGGAACACATTTTATACACACACACAGGAGGAGGGGATGACGAGACACACCTGGGAGCAATAAAACCAAGGGAAACACCTGGGACAAATGAAATAAACTAATCAGGACAGGAACAGGAAACTAACCAAATAAGGGCATGGGAAGGCACATGGGGAGCAGGACACACACAAAACATGGAACAGAGTCTGACAACTATACTATAGCATATAAGATTTCATTTTAGCATTTTTACATCCAACCAGCTAGCAATATCTTTTATCCTTGACAAATGAATAAATCTGTGGTATTACCTTCTGTAAAAGCACCTATTTTTACTCTGTTTGTTGTGGAGAGCCATTTACTGAGTTTTCAACTCTTTTATTAACTGTAGGGAACAGATTGCTCATAAACATGAATGCTTTTTAAACAAGGGAAGGGACTGTTGAAGGTAATGAGGTACAAGTTGGTCTTATGATTATGTAATGGTGATTAATTATGTTTCTCTTTCAGCATGTGTCTTACACACAAATAAATGCAGGAACGGTTCCTCTGGTAATTGTTCTGTACTCAAGACGACAATAATCATAAAATACAACTGCGATTATAGTGTGTGTGTGTCTAAACCATTAGGCCACAAACTCATGTATAACAGTTTGCAAAGGCATCCGTAAAGCCATTTCATGGTTGTTTTTGGGCTCTTTCAGGGACCTGTCCTTCATCCAGGTGATCAACGTGGGCCAGCGTTTCCTGGTGAACCGTGTTCAGGATTACATTCAGAGCAAGATCGTCTACTACCTCATGAATATTCACGTTCAGAAGCACTCCATCTACCTGTGCCGCCACGGCGAGAGCCAGCACAACGTCCAGAGCTGCATCGGAGGAGACTCGGAGCTCTCCAGCAGAGGAAAACAGGTGCACTTCATAGATAGATGGGCGGAATATGGCTTATTTCAGTATCTATGACTACGTTTACATGGACATCAGTAATCGAATTATTTACCTTATTCTAAATAAGCCAATATTATGATTAAGGTGTTTACATGAGTTGCTTTTAGAATATTCCTTTCATGTTCCCGTTTTACATGTTATAGTACATAGTTCGATTAATGGTGCACGTCATTACGTCCCCTCCGGCATTTCACGCATAAACATATAGTTCGTCTTCGTGATGATGCCATGTACAGTTTTGGGTGTTTCATTTTTAATTTTATAGTACTTCAGCTTAAACTTATTTTATTTTAGTTGTATGCCAAGGCATAATTTCTGTTACTTTTTTCCATCCAATATTTGTATTTTAGTTTAGTTTTAATTAACATTTTTAATAGTTCTAGTTAATAACACTGTTAATCAAGATAATAATTTTGCCACCAAGTTTACAGATACGAATTCTAAAACATATACTGTAATCCTAGCATTATTCTACTTACTATTGTCACGTTGCACACACACGAGGAACGAGGAGACGCTGGAGAATACGTTTAACAGGACTTTATTACCACCAAGGAACCAAGGGAGACGAACACAGGAAGACGTACAACAGCGGACAGAGAACTTGGGACTGGGAACACATTTTATACACACACACAGGAGGAGGGGATGACGAGACACACCTGGGAGCAATAAAACCAAGGGAAACACCTGGGACAAATGAAATAAACTAATCAGGACAGGAACAGGAAACTAACCAAATAAGGGCATGGGAAGGCACATGGGGAGCAGGACACACACAAAACATGGAACAGAGTCTGACAACTATACTATAGCATATAAGATTTCATTTTAGCATTTTTACATCCAACCAGCTAGCAATATCTTTTATCCTTGACAAATGAATAAATCTGTGGTATTACCTTCTGTAAAAGCACCTATTTTTACTCTGTTTGTTGTGGAGAGCCATTTACTGAGTTTTCAACTCTTTTATTAACTGTAGGGAACAGATTGCTCATAAACATGAATGCTTTTTAAACAAGGGAAGGGACTGTTGAAGGTAATGAGGTACAAGTTGGTCTTATGATTATGTAATGGTGATTAATTATGTTTCTCTTTCAGCATGTGTCTTACACACAAATAAATGCAGGAACGGTTCCTCTGGTAATTGTTCTGTACTCAAGACGACAATAATCATAAAATACAACTGCGATTATAGTGTGTGTGTGTCTAAACCATTAGGCCACAAACTCATGTATAACAGTTTGCAAAGGCATCCGTAAAGCCATTTCATGGTTGTTTTTGGGCTCTTTCAGGGACCTGTCCTTCATCCAGGTGATCAACGTGGGCCAGCGTTTCCTGGTGAACCGTGTTCAGGATTACATTCAGAGCAAGATCGTCTACTACCTCATGAATATTCACGTTCAGAAGCACTCCATCTACCTGTGCCGCCACGGCGAGAGCCAGCACAACGTCCAGAGCTGCATCGGAGGAGACTCGGAGCTCTCCAGCAGAGGAAAACAGGTGCACTTCATAGATAGATGGGCGGAATATGGCTTATTTCAGTATCTATGACTACGTTTACATGGACATCAGTAATCGAATTATTTACCTTATTCTAAATAAGCCAATATTATGATTAAGGTGTTTACATGAGTTGCTTTTAGAATATTCCTTTCATGTTCCCGTTTTACATGTTATAGTACATAGTTCGATTAATGGTGCACGTCATTACGTCCCCTCCGGCATTTCACGCATAAACATATAGTTCGTCTTCGTGATGATGCCATGTACAGTTTTGGGTGTTTCATTTTTAATTTTATGAAAGCTTCAAGTGCAGTTAATTATTTGTACGTGCATTCAGATGATGGCGGTGTTGAAGCTCTTTTATTTGCCGTCAAACAGTTGAGCACTGCCGTGTGTGTGTCCTGTCGCAAAATACGGCGAAAAGTCCTACATGACGGTAATAATGTGATGAAGGTGTTTACATGTCTATACTGCACTTCAGTAATGTGACTAAAATAGGAATACTCCACATGTCTTAATTCGATTTCTGTTTACTTCGGTTATGACTTTAGCCGGATTAAGGTAATCAAACATCTCTGTTTATATGGTAGATTCTTAATCAGAGTATTGTCTTAATCGTATTAAAATCGGAGTATTGTTGTCCATGTAAACGTACTGACTGATATACTGGAACACTGCCCTGCATCATATTTGATGAATGAAATCCAGTGCATGTTTCTTACTCATTTTGAGGTGCTGATTCCAAAAATAACGGCTGTTTTGCTCAAGCACATCACGCTATCTTACAAAATATGATGCATTTTGTAACATTTTTGCTTTCGACAACCATTTTTAAGGTGAAGTCGTCTTTTATTAAACTTAATCAGCAGAAAAACTGCCACAAATACATGATTCCCGTCTTCATCTGAGTCAAATTACAACTATTTGTTCAATTCAAAGCCCATTTTCACATGTATGAATTATTCTGAATTATTCTATTCATCATTAAAATAGAAGCTTTTGACATTTGACTGCTTTTGTTATTTTGATAAGTGCAAAAAAGCTTTTATATATATATATATATATATACTGTATCTATATCTTACTGTGTACATATAATTTATATGAATATATGTAACTTAAATTTTATATATATATAATTTTTTTAACAGAGTTATTTATGTTATTTTTTAACTCCGTATCATTACATTTGGTAATATGTAGCATTTTTTGCAAATCAGAATAATTTTTTTTATATTGCAGGGCTGTGTTATAGTGTTTGTTAATATTTTGAATTAGGTTTTATTTTTATGTTTTTTCTTTTCACTTTAATTTTATTTGAATTTCTAGTAATTTTGTTGTGTGCTTTTGTCATTTTTACTAGTTTTCTTAAAGTATAACTATATAGTTTTTTTGTTATTATTATTATAATAAAAATAATATTCTTATTAATAGAATTTTTATAATGTTTTATTTGTTTAAGTTCATTTAGTTTTAGTTATTTTAGTACATCAAGTTAAACTAAATGAAAATTAGAAATGTTGCCTTGGCAACATATGCATTTCTTTAATATTTTATTTTACTATAACATTTATAGATAATTTTTTTTACTTTTATTTATTTATTTATTTAATTCATTTATTTATCTATTCATTCATACATTCTTTTTTTAATTAGAATTTTTTAGGTTTTAGTTTTAGTTAACTATAATAAAACAGAGTTGTTTGTATTTGTTAATCATGGTTTTTTTTTTTTTTTTACTGTAGCACATGTAAAGCCACTTTCATAGTCACCCTGTGTTGCTTCCCAGCATGCTCTGGGTCAGTCCTTTACCACAGGTGGGTGAGAAATGTTTGTGGGCTTTTTAACATCTTTCCCGCTCTGTGTTAGTTTTCTAAAGCCCTGCGTGGGTTCCTGGAAAACCAGAATATCCCAGACCTGAAGGTGTGGACCAGTCAGCTCAGACGCACCATCCAGACGGCCGAGGAGCTGGGCGTCCCGTACGAGCAGTGGAAAATCCTCAACGAGATCGACGCCGTGAGTTTCCTGCCGCTGTTTTTATTACAGCAGCAGCCTCTGGTTTTCATATGAACACTGGGCTGTTCTTCAGTACTTACCGTGATAAAACAGAGGTGTTTTCTGTTAACAGGCAATTAGTCAATTTGAGTCAGATGTTTAATGGAGGTGTATCATATTTAACTCGTTTACCACACCAAAATGAATTCAGCTATATAACTGGGAAAACTTTGCCATGAGTGCAATAAAAGTCTGCTTCCACATAAGTGGGAAATAAGGTAGATGTTTAATGCTTTTAAGGAGCAGTTCACTCAAAGTTGTAAATTAATTTGCTAAAGATGTCCTCACCCTCAGGACATCCAAGATGTAGATGAGTTTGTTTCTTCTTCAGATTTGGAGAAATGTAGCAATAAATCACTTGCTCACCAATGGATCCTCTGCAGTGAGGCAATAGTTCATATTTCAAGCAATAGTTCACCCAAAAATAAATATTTGCTAATAATTTAGTCATCCTCAGCAGGCCATCCAAAACGTACGGTTACACTTTACTTGAAGGGGTGTGCATAAAACTGACATGACACCTACATAATCATGACATGTCACATGTCATGAATATGAAGGTTTTTTATGCATGTTTATGACAACTGTCATTAAGTGTCATTCGCTCAGTTATGTAATTTTTAATGCAAAGATGACATTGTTTGAGATGTCTTTGTTATGGGCTATGGTTAGGGGTAGGGTTAGGTTAGGCTTAGGTCAAATAATGTCATATTTGCATTAAAAATGACATAACTGAGCAAATGACACTTAATGACAGTTGTCATAAACATGCATAAAAAACCTTCATATTCATGACATGTGTCCTTCATATTCATGACATGTGTCATGTCATGATTATGAAGGTGTCATGTCAGTCTTATGCACACCCCTTCAAGTAAAGTGTTACCAAACGTACAGTAGACGAGTTTGTTTATTCATCAGAACAGATGTGAAGAAATGTAGCAATAAATCACATGCTCACCAATGGATCCTCTGCAGTGAATGGGTGCCGTCAGAATGAGAGTCCAAACAGCTGATAAAAACATCACAATAATCCACACATCACTCCAGTCCATCAGTTAATGGCTTGAGAAGTGAAAAGCTGTGTTTGTAAGAAACAAATAAATTATTAAGATGTTTTTGACTTCAAATCATCACTTCCAGCTAAAATACGAGTCCATAATATTGTTTTCTCCAGTGAAAAAGTCATCTGGTCTGAATCAGGAGAGAAATCTGCACAGATCAAGCACCGTTTACGAGAGAAACCAGTCCAAAACAGTTCTAAACAAATAATATCAGTGGATTTTTATGTGGGAGGACAACAGGAGATGACTTTTTCACTGGAGGAAGCGTTATTATGGACTCGTATTTTGGCCAGAAGCGACGGTTTGAAGTGAAAACGTCTTTATGTATTTGTTTCTTACAAACACGCAGCTTTTGGCTTCTCAAGATGTTCACTGATGGACTAGAGTGGTGTGGATTACTTTTTATCAGCTGTTTGGACTCTCATTCTGACGGCACCCATTCACTGCAGAGGATCCATTGCTGAGCAAATGATGGAATGCTACATTTCTCCAAATCTGTTCTGATGAATAAACAAACTCATCCACTGTACGTTTTGGATGGCCTGCTGAGGATGACTAAATTGTCAGCAAATATTTATTTTTGGGTGAACTATTGCTTATATTGCAAAAAGAAAAAAACAATCACTTTATTGCAAAACGTCTGAATTGATGACGGAGAAACATTTGTGCTGTTTGTGCATTGTTATTTTTAATGTGTGTTTATGTTTTATATCAGGGCATCTGTGAGGAAATGACATATGAAAAGATAAAAGAAACATACCCAGATGAATATTCTCTCAGAGACCAGGACAAATACCACTACAGATACCCAGGAGGAGAGGTGTGTTCTGTACCGTTATAACACCTGATGTGCCATTTAGAGTTCCCACGTTTTAATAATAACTCTTCATGACTTTTTCATGACCTTTAATGATTCAGATTTAGACTGATTGACTAATGAACTATTCAGACTGATTCACCGAAAATAATTCACTCCCACTTTTTGAAAGCAGTCTCTTCTGCTCACCAAGGCTGCATTTATTTGATCATAAATACAATACAAACAGTAAAATTGTGAAATATTACTACAATTTAAAATGACTGTTTTCTATTTGATTACATTTTAAAATGTATTTTATTTCTGTGATCATAGCTGAATTTTCAGCATCATTACTCCAGTCACATGATCTTCAGAAATCATTCTAATATGCTGATTTGCTGCCCAGGAAACATTTCTGATTATTATCAATGTTGAAAACAGTTGTGCTGCTTTTGTGAAAACCATGATACATTTTATTTGCAGAACTCTTTGATGAATAGAAAGTTTAAAAGAACAGCATTTGTTTGAAATAGAAATCTTTTGTAACATAAAGGTCTTTAGTACTGTGACTCTTGATCATTTTAATGCATCCTGTCTGAATAAAACTATTAATTTCTTCAAACAAAGAGAAAAACATTCATATCTAGCAGCGAGTTTTGTTGCTCTTCTCTTGCTGTAGTCCTATCAGGATCTGGTGCAGCGGCTGGAGCCAGTAATCATGGAGCTGGAGAGACAAGGCAACGTGCTGGTCATCTGCCACCAGGCCGTCATGCGCTGCCTCCTCGCCTACTTCCTGGACAAGAGCGCTGGTATCACACACTCACACTCACACTCACACTCACACTCACGCTCACACACACACTCACTCACACACTCACACATAAACACACACTCACACTCACACACACACTCACTCACACACTCACACATAAACACACACTCACACTCACACACACACTCACTCACACACTCACACATAAACACACACTCACACTCACACACACACTCACTCACACACTCACACATAAACACACACTCACACTCACACACACACTCACTCACACACTCACACATAAACACACACACTCACACACACACACACACACACACACTCAAAAAAACCATTCAAATCTAGCAGTGAGTTTTGTCCTAATTCTCTTGCCGTAGTCCTATCAGGACCTGGTGCAGCGGTTGGAGCCAGTAATCATGGCGCTGGAGAGACAAGGCAATGTGCTGGTCATCTGCCACCAGGCCGTCATGCGTTGCCTCCTCGCCTACTTCCTGGACAAGAGCGCTGGTGCGTCACAAACACACACACACACACTCAAATCATATCAGGCCTCTTGTGACTTACTGATGACTATAATGAGAGACTGGTTTTCAGGTAATAAGTGTCCTAAGAAGATCCTCTAACAAGCTCTATGAGATGAAGTTGTTGATATTCCTGAGCAAAACTCTTCCATGCATGACCGCTTAGACTCAAATATGTGTTCATAATGTCAGCAGATCTTCTCATATTTTGGTGTGCTTGTATTGTACAGATGATTTGCCGTATCTGAAGTGTCCCCTTCATGTGGTCCTGAAACTCACCCCAGTGGCTTATGGTACGTGTTGTTTCATTCACTAAGGCCCATCTTAAAGAGCAATATTATTTGAACTATCTATTTATATATATATATATATATATATATATGTGTGTGTGTGTGTGTGTGTGTGTGTGTGTTTATAAATTATAATTAATAATATAATAAAATAACTTAATGAAATGAATAAATACAATACATTTTCATTATGTTTTTTAAGAGATTTAGATACTCTAGTAACATTCAGATTTTTTTCAATACGTCTTGTTTGTTTTCTGTTGCAGGCTGTAAAGTTGACATATTTAACCTGAAAGTAGAAGCTGTGAACACACACCGGGACAGACCACTCGTAAGGAGAAGTATAACCAGTACCAGACTAACCGTTTTTGTGGTGTTTGCTAAAACAGGCTTCACTGTTATTGCTAGCAAGCCTTTAGTAGCATGCTGTTTCCCTTCTTTAGGGAAATGTGTTTTTGTTTAAACAGAAAATAAGTTCTCAAACTTTATTTGTGCAGAACGATTCTAGATGTTAATTCTGTTATGATATTTTTGGAATCACATGTGTCCTGTGATCTCGCGGTCTGTCCAACACGAACAGCTTGAGTAAATCAGCAGTGGAGGAGCCTCAAAGCAACAACAACCTCTTGAACTCTTTTAACAGAACGCTAAAGGCTGGCAGAGTGGTCTGTTTTTGCAGTGCAAGTCTGGAGGTGGGAGTTTGCCTGAAAAACACAAACCACAGGTCTGTGGTCAGAGCGATTGTCGTCCTGTCTCAGAATAGTCCTGGCTTATGGCTGGATATTGTTTTGGATGAGTAGTTTTAGGATGAGATCAGCATCTTCTGTTGGGTGGCAGTCGGGGGAGTTTCCCTCCAGCCTGAGCTTTAACTTAATATGCATCAACATGTTTAGTTTCCGCTCAGATTTTTAAAGAGCTTATATAACATGGAAAACAGACGGTTTTTGCACTTTAGAAAAAAAAAATCTCATGAAGGAAATGTTGCTTTTTTCTCCCTTCATTAAAATTTAGCATAATTACATTGTACAAATGTACTTAAATCTTATTTGTACTACAAATAAGCTTTATTTTCTTCATGCAAAATATAATTTGGTAACATTTTACTTAAGGCCTTTTTGTATAATGCATCATAAAAGTAGTTTTAATGCATTAATTATGCCTTGTAATGCACCTCATAATGCATTGTATAATCTCATTAATAATTGTAACCACAGTTATAATACATTATAATAATTATCTACTCATTTAGAAAGAATAATGCATTAAAAGCACGTCAAACAAACCTTCAAATATTATAATGCATTTTAACTTTGGTTGAATTATTTCTGAAAAGATGTAATGCATTACCATGGACATTATGAATACCTTTATAATGCAATATACATACAGGCTTTAAGTAAAGTGTTAGCTATAATTTCTTATTCGCCTTTTAATTGTCAGGTGAAATGTGTCCTGGAAATGTATAATACCTATGATGATAATCAGTAGGATGCAGTACAGAAAATAATATTAACAGCTTAACATATTTACACATCAACACTTTAATTTCACATGCAAAGCCGTTAGCCAATCACAACAGATGTAATTTACATATAGAAGTCTAAGAGCTATACTAACGGCCTGTTTCATTGTGAGGCTCAGAGAGAAGGTGGAAATTGTCTTGAAGAACTACATTATGATGCAAGAAACCTTGAAATATGGCCCTTTATAAACATGGCTTTTGTCCGAGTCTTCAACCACATGCTGTACCTGATACTTGCGTTGTGTGTTATCAGGGAAGCTCCAGACAGGAAGTGCAGCCCACTCTGCTGAGGAGGAACAGCTTTACGCCACTGTCTAGTGAGGATCAAGTCAAGCGGCCCCGCCTCTTCAGCGTCGGCAACCCGCCCCGCTTAGCAAGCATTCCTGCCTCATCAACCTCACGATTCCCTGAGGCGCAGGAGAGCGAGGAGCTGAGCGAGAGCCCGGTTAGTTCTGTGTGTCTGAGCTCTTAATGTGATTTACAACACTGAGACCTAGATCCCAAACACACACCGACAATATAAAACAAAAAGCAGACCCATATGCTGATAGATATTTGATTTTATGTTTTAAAAAGAAACATATACACTACCAGTCAACAGTTTTGAACAGTAAGATTTTTAATGTTTTTTTAAGAAGTCTCTTCTGCTCACCAAGCCTGCATTTATTTGATCCAAAATACAGCAAAAGCAGTAATATTGTGAAATATTTTTATTATTTAAAATAACCGCTTTCTATTTGAATATATTTTAAAATTTGATTTATTCCTGTGATCACAGCTGTATTTTCAGCATCATTACTCCAGTCTTCAGTGTCACATGATCTTCAGAAATCATTCTAATATGCTGATTTGCTGCTCAAGAAACATTTTTTCTGGATTCTTTGATGAATAGAAAGATCCAAAGATCAGCATTTATCTAATATAGAAAAAGCATTTGTAACATTATACACTATACCATTCAAAAGCTTGGAGTCAGTGTATATATATATATATATTATTATTATATTTTTTTTTTTAAACAAATTATTAGGAATTATACTTTTATTCAACAAGGATGCATTAAATTGATCAAAAGTGATGATAAAGATATTTATAATGTTACAAAAGATTTCTATTTCAGATAAATGCTGTTTTTCTGAACTTTCCATTCATCAAAAAAACCTGAAAAAAATCTATAGCTGTTTTGTTTTTAACATAGTAATAATAATAATAAATGCTTATTGAGCAGTAAAACAGCATATTAGAATGATTTCTGAAGATCATGTGACACTGAAGACTGGAGTAATGATGCTGAAAATTTAGCTTGGATCACAGGAATAAATTACATTGTAACATATTCAAATAGAAAACTGTTATTTTAAATAGTAAAAATATTTCAAAATTTTGCTGTATTTTGGATCAAATAAATGCAGGCTTGGTGAGCAGAAGAGACTTCTTTCAAAAACATTAAAAATCTTACTGTTCAAGAACTTTTGACTGGTAGTGTATATTTCTTTTAACTTGTAACATTTGAAAAGTTTTTTTAAAGAAGAATATTTTGCCCACCGTTTATTTGCATTTATTTGATACATTATTAAAAACAGTAATATTGTGAAATATTAATACAATTTCAAATAACTGTTTAATATTTGAATGTATTGTAAAATGTAATTTATTCCTGTGATCAAAGCTGAATTTTCAGCATCATTACTCCAGTCTTCAGTGTCACATGATCTTCAGAAATCATTCTAATATGCTGATTTGCTGCTCAAGAAACATTTCTGATTATTATCAATGTTGAAAACAGTTGTGCTGCTTCATATTTTTGTGGAAACTGTTATACACTACCATTCAAAAGTGTAGATTAAGTAAGATTAGAAATGTATACATAGAAGTATTAATATTAGATTTTTAATATTTGTTTTATATTATTATAAGTATTAATTTATTTTTTAATATAAAAGAAATGAATACTTTAATTCAGCATGGACGCATTAAGTTGATCAAAAGTGACAGTAAAAGATGTTAATAATGTTATAAATGATTTGGACTTCAAATAAAAGCTGTTATTTTTAATTTTCTATTCATCAAAGAATCCTGAAAAAATATCCACAAAAATATTAAGCCGCAAAAACCGTTTACACTGTTTATTGTTGTGCTGCTTAATATTTTTTGGAAACTATGATAGATAGATAGATAGATAGATAGATAGAACGATAGATAGATAGATAGATAGATAGATAGATAGATAGATAGATAGATAGATAGATAGAACGATAGATAGATAGATAGATAGATAGATAGATAGATAGATAGATAGATAGATAGATGGATAGATGGATGGATAGATGGATAGAACGATAGATAGATAGATGGATAGATGGATAGATAGATGGATAGATAGATGGATAGAACGACAGATAGATAGATGGATAGATGGATAGATGGATAGACAGATGGATAGATGGATAGATAGATGGATAGATAGATAGACAGATGGATAGATGGATAGATGGATAGATAGATGGATAGAACGATAGAACGATAGATAGAACGATAGATAGATAGATAGATAGATAGATAGATAGATAGATAGATAGAACGATAGATAGATAGATAGATAGATAGATAGATAATTACAAACAAATGTTGGATTAATTAGTTAATTGTTTATCGATTGACAGCACTAATAAATAAATATATATATAGTATTTTTCTACCTGGAGTATGACTAGTTAGTCAAGAGTCCCTCAAGCATTATTTATGTTGTAACATCAACAAAGTAACCTTTGTGCTCTGTCTTATAGGAAACACTGAACTGCTTCGCCCCGTCAGACTCGAAAGACGCCATCCAAGAGTGACAACACAAAAAAAGCTGTGTGACGCCCGTCACAGATTAAACGTTTTCTCCAGACATGATTCAGCTGTTGACGCCCGCTCAAAATCAGCACATGTGAACACTGCTTTATGTAACGTTAACAGCGCCGGCGACGCCTCTCTCCGCTCTTCACAACCCTCATCCGTCCACAAGCGCTTGGAAGTACGGTAAAATCACAACACGCAACAATTAATGCAAGGAAGATTCACTCGCACTGTTGAGCAGATTGACAGCTCGTGGGACCAATTAGAGTGCAGATGAACTGATTGAGTGGGCGTGGCTTGTGCCAGTTAAGCTGATTAGAATATTTAAAGACACAGCACACTGAAATAAGAAAGAAGGGGACATTCAAGCACTTGTTTTGATTGTCGTAACATCTGTTTTGCGCTCTTTTCTTCATACTGCCTTAGTACTGACTGACTCAGGCCAAATCTGATTGGATATTGTGTACATTTTTGTATAAATATGATTTTAGCTGTTAATTGTCTGTGATGTTCTTGCTGTCGTTATTTCCTCATGTATTTACAATTTACATGCTGCTTTCTGGTTTTGGTTGTTGTGCACAATGTCATATTGAATTTAATGAATGTCTCGCGGTCGTATGATGTCATAGGTCATGTGACAGAGGAAAGATTCGTGAAATTTATGTTATACTGGTTTTTCTCCATGAAAAAATGTCTATAATTTTGGACAGGAACATCAGGGTAGTTCTTATAAATAACTGTTTTATTTGTTATAAATAAGTGAAACTCAATTCAGTCTTTAACAATTGTGTCCTTTCATTGTTTCCTTAAAACATACCTCATTAGAATCAGAACAGAATCATTAATTCTAGCGTTATCTTGTCAGTGGTTTTTCAATGGATCTGCAAGAGCATTTAAAACTACTCTGAGAATATTGAAACTCATACTGTTATATTAGTTATCATTTAGCTAGACTGTCTTTCATGATACAACGTTATTTATACTCGCTTTTATCTTGCATCAGATCTGGAAGGATGCTTTTAAAGGGTATTTTAAATTGTTTTGTAATTATAATTTGAGTTCAAGTTGTCAGATTTGTATATTTCTGACTTTAATATGCAGAAAGTATGTTGAATGTTATGAATATGATGGCCTGTTAAGAATCAGAGGCTGCATTGCTCTTGCTACTTGCAGCTTGTTATTCCATTTGAATGCAAATATGAGTGTGATTGCATGATCGGATATGATCAGATCTGTAAGTGCCTTTGCTTCGCAGCCAAAGTGTAACCAAATCAAAGCCTAAAAAATACAACAGATCTCTGTGAGTGCAGATTCTTGGATCCAAAAAACACATTTTCCTCGGAGCCAAGTCCTTTATTTTAATGTAATGTGTTATAGAAAATAAATTTTGTGTTCTGGTTTGATTGCATCACAATATCTATAGCACTGTTATAGTTATGACTAAATATATATGTCATGCTAATCTATTGATAAACATTTTGAGATCTAAGAAAATCAGTCTGTGATACAAGTAAAATTTTTTTGTCATTTAAATAGCAATTAAACTGTTATTTTACTACCATTGGTATACTATTATAGTATTATACCCTCAACTATATATATATA